CCAAAGTTTAAAAAGTGTGGAGGAGTTTGAGATCTATAGCAAACGAGAAAATTTCCAATGAATATCAACTTAAATTTTGGTCGTTTTCTCAAAAAAGTATTGTATAGAAGACTTGGAATTAAGAGCACAAGTCAAGAATGGACACATTTTATGACAGTTTTTCCAAGTTTAAAAGCCCCTGGACACTTTCTAATTTCATTATTTAAGCTGTACATCTCAATATACAAAAGATAATAAAGTAAATAAGTTTAATTTGATATAGAGGAAGGTTTGCAATTTCCTGCACATGCACTCATAACACGTCATCAGCGTGCAGTCAGAAATCTCAGTGCCATATAAACACACCATAACTGTCTAACACAAGTGTTAAAGGTCTCAGAGTTTGCATTTTTTCTGCGAGCACAGAGCCACTTCTCATTCAGCACATACGTGAGCGAGTGTGTTCTCCTGACCTGACCCAGCCGCCGCTATTCCTGTCCACCTCTATTCATCACCACTGAAACTCTGTGTGCATGCTGCTGTATTGTTTTTGAGTAACCCAATTCTAATCGTTATTTTAGAATTCTCCTCAAATGAGTGTCTCACTATATTCAAAATGTGTTCAGTGGAGAACTGTTTGCTCCCATACAAAAAGCTTTCCTGTGTGAACCTGACCCCCTGTGGATGGGGTTAATAAAATATTTTTGCTGCTGTAAAGATGGGAGATGAATCTTAGAGACGGATCTTTTGCAATGTCTCTAAAGCACTAGACTTCAAATAAAACAAACTCAATTACCACAAAGGCATTCCACTGCTGGAGCATCATTTTGTTGAAAAAGGGGTGTATGCAGGGTCGTAATGACCACAGACATGTTCAGATTATGAATGATTCTTAAAATTGTACCTTCTGTTTCCCCAGTAGTGATTTTATTTTTAGAAATACATTTTTTATGTGCTAGTAATATGCATTTTCATGTACACTACTGTTACTGTTAAGTAAGATTTTTAAGAAAGCAATACTTTTATTCAGCAAGCAAACATTAAATTCATCAAAAGTGGTAGTAAATACATTTATAAATGTAAATTTCAGAATTTAATGAAATGTATCTTATCTTATAATTTCTTTGATAATGAAAGATATTATGATAAGATAATCAGAAATGTTTCTTGAGCAGCAAATCAGCATATTAGAATGATTTCTGAAGGATCGTGTGACACTGAAGACTGGAGTAATGATGCTGAAAATTCAGCTTTGCATCACAGGAAAAAAAATACATTTCAAAATATATTAAAAGAGAAAACAGCTCTTTAAATTGTAATAATATTTTACAATATTACAGTTTTTACTGCATTTTTGATCAAATAAATGCAGACTTGGTGAGCAGAAGAAGCTTTTTTTAAAAACACTGAAAAAATCTTAGCGACCCCAGACTATGGAAAAGTATATACATTTTTATTTTTTGTTAATTTTTTTTTTTTATTACCATTTTATCTTTGCAAAAGAAAATATGCAAGCAAGCTGTAAATTATACAGCTACAGTGTAAATAATGTAAAAGTCCATTTTTCTATATCGACATAACCTAAAATCTGTTAGCCAGTTAAAAAATATTATCTTGGTGACAAATCAGCAGAATTTACAACAACAATGTTGAATACATCACAGAAAACCAACTGGGTCATTTTGTGTCAACTCAACCAGAGGTCCTCGGCTCAAATTTTTGATTTTGTCAATATTTTTTCTTAAGAAAGACAAACATGTTTGGTGATATAAGCCAAAATATTAAATCTCATGGATGTATATTTACTGAGTAATCCACTATTTTGTAGAGGAGGGTCAAAAGATCCATAAAAGATACATTTCTAGTTTCAACATTATTTGTTCTTCAGACATTCTTCTTTAAAAGAAAATAAGTATGATCTGTATGCAAAGTGACCCGCATTTGGTTTTTGACCACTAAAAATGTGCGCAATTTAACAATTTACTCTTGAGGCCATACTTAAATTCCAATATTGCCTTGAAAATGAAAATGGCAAAAGGAAAGTTTGTTAAGACCCAAAATCTAAAAGGGCATTAAGATATCTTTTATACTTTTTTACTTGTGTTACAGGCATGCAAACTTTGGAGAAGAAAACATGAAAAGTGCTTTCTCCCATTTTTTAACAGTCACCATTGGCACATAATGCAACAAAGATTGCTAAGTCAACAGATTTTACTAATAGACCTACCAATCTCTGTGTAAAAATAACAATGTCGATGCCATCTTTCTGAAGTCATTTTTACCCCCCTAATTTTGGCTCAGAATCTCAGGTGAAAATTGTCATTTTGACCACCTTCTACAAAACAGTGGATTACTCAGTAAATACACATCTGTGACATTTAATATTTTGGCTTTCAACACCATACATGTTTATCTTTCTTTAGAAAAAATATTGGCAAAATCAAAAATTAGAGCCGGGGAAGTTTCTGAAATTTGGTTGATTTGACATGGAATGACCCAATTGTGCAAAGCATAAACAATGGATGTCCAAGACCAATAAATGTAAAATTATCACCATGAAAATGCAAGTGACTGTTCTGGCTGGCCTGAAATACCCCCGGTTGGCAGGCCATCCGTATTGTTCAGCCCTGATGCTAATTTGTTTCATTCATACCTGAATCAAAAACAGTGCAGGATGTTGAATGTGGAAATTCTACAGTCAGCTACAGTGCAAAAGCTCCTCATGACTTTATGTTAAGCAGGATTTAAATATATTTTTCATCATCAAGTTTAATCTTTACTAGCTGTTTGCATTTGAAAAAAAAAAAAAAACTTTTTTAAAAAGGAAAATAAGACAACATGTAAAACAGATTTCAGGTGCGCAACGCTGCCATCTGCTAAAATAAACATGAGACTTCTGTATGGGGTAAAAAATTAACCACATACACCACGGCTTCGTAGGTTCATTTCACAAAAACTAACACATTTCACTGACCGACCCAACAAAACAGTCTAAAACTACAGATTACAACCAACTTTGCTGCCCAAAACAGCTAATAAAGCTCAGTACACGACGAGATTTTCGGTGTCACTTAATTTGCAGAACATCTTTACCTCTCAGCCCAAAAATGGTGTCCATTGAGAGGGGCCAGATTGCATTTTGGCCCAGATGCCTGAACTTCCTCGCGAGAGAAAAATAATGCTTGCGTATTTAATTATGAGGCCGTGAATACCAGGGTCACTGACTCATGGTCTCACACAGACGTCATGTCACCTGGAAATAGTCCAGAGCGCTATGCATTCAAATCAATGAGGATCGTTTTACACCGACATGTCTCACGAAGGGCTTGAAGGTTACACACCAAATGGATGAGCGCCAGGTGATAAGCTAATGCGGCCAGAATCAAATTAAAGGGAGAGCACTGTCTGACTTCTTTAAATCAAAGCAGGCGTTTGAAGTGCACGGTTTGAATCGTTTGGCTGGCCAAAGTGAGAGAGCCGAGGGTTGAGGAAGTCAGAGACTGACACCCTTCTCCCCCGCGTCGGTCACGTTACACAGCCCTCGATGGAGCAGAGATGATTTTCATTAGTTTATAACCTGCTTCTGCGGCGCCTGTAAGAGGCCTCCTCATGAATCATCTTTCAGCCAGCAGAACTGCTATGTTCTCTTCAGAATTAAAGAAAACAAACACACAATAATAAAGCAAAGTCATTATTATGCACAAAAGAAGATTGTGTTAACAAAAGAAACCAATTATTCTTATGCAGAAAATATTATCTCACTATTTTTGTATTATCTATTACTCTACTCTGTAATTGTGGTGCTTGTATCCACATGGGAATACAAAGACCCTTAAAGTTGTCTTTTTTTATCTGTTCAACGTGAATAGAAAGTATTGTTCCATATTGGCTATATGGTTGTGTAGCATGCAGCAATTAGTGTCAGCCTCAGACAGACGCCACAATGAGCACTTCTGAAGAAGATTTGGTTGCTGAAATTGTCAGGTTAGTGCCTTAAAAGTTCTGAAAGGTACTGAAGTGTTCTGATGTTTTTCATATGCAAATACATTATCCTTGAACAACTGTACTATAACTCCACTAACTATATTCCTTTTAGCTATAGTACATCCATAAAATAATCTGTACTTCCACATTGGGAAGTATACAAATTCTGTCAAGACACATTTAATGCTAATTTATGTGGTTGTGTCTCTATGATTTTTCATTATTGTGCCATTTTCTCAATGAGCTGCCTCTTTGTTGCATGTGAATGTATTATTGTAAGATTTAAATTAGCATTATTTTAAAAAATTATACTTTTTTATTGAAAATGTTAATAAATTTTCAATAAAGTTTCATTACTCTTGCTACAATGTTCATAACTGTAGCGAAGCTAAAACAAAAATAACGACTTTATTCAACAATTCGTCTCCTCTGTGTCTCTCCGCATCACCGTAGCGCCATTTTGGAGAATATCCGCTGAATGCAAGCAGCGTACGCTCTTCTGTGTCAGCCGCGCTGCACAGATGCACTGTTTTCGTTCAAATAAAAGTGTAAATACTTGTAGAAAACGTATCCTTGTGTCGCGGCTGACACAGAAGAGCGTACGCTGCTTGCGTCCAGCGGATATTCTCCAAAATGGCGCTACAGTGATGCGGAGAGACACAGAGTAGACGAATTGTTAAATAAAGTCGTTATTTTTGTTTTCTTCGCATACAAAAAGTATTCTCGTCGCTTCATAACGTTACGGTTGAACCACTGATGGCAGATGGACTATTTTGACGATGTCTTTCATACTTTTCTGGACCTTGACAGTGTTATTTACTTGGCAGTCAATGGGACAGTCACAAGCCTCCCGGTTTTCATCCAAAATATCTTAAACTGTGTCCCGAAGACGAACGAAGCTTTTACGGGTTTGAAACGACATGGGGGTAAGTGATTAATGACAAAATTTTCATTTTGGGGTGGAGTAACCATTTAATTTCCCCTTTAATCGTAAAAACATCAGCATGAAGCATCAACAAAACTGGTGGGTTTTTTACCTTTCAGCATCGCTCTACCTGTGGAGCCAACAGTGACGCTAGGCAGAGAACTTCGGGCCCCGAGAGCAGCTGTGGCTTCCAGCAGGGCCCCGCTCAGATGAGCTGCAATGCTGGTTCTAGGAAGGCAGGCCCTGAATCTAATTTGCAACAGGGAGACCGGCAGCCATGACACAGCCTGGGCAAGCAGCTTTCTGGACGGGTGCAGGAGATAGACTTCAGGACTCAGGGTAGGATCAACATGGTCAATCTGTAGAAAAGAGAGACAATGGCAATGCATGTTTGTTGATGTTTTTGTATTGTTAAACAGAGAACATGTTGTCTGAGGTTGTCGAACCCAGGGGAATCTCAGCTTTTTTCACAAGACAGCATATGAATGCTCTCCTATTAGAGATGCTACGGTGGGGAAAATTTCCCACCGCTTAAAGGAGGGGTAAGCGATTTCTGGTAGCCAATGTTGACATTTGAAATCACCAAAACAAACACGCTCCAACCCCAAAAGATTATCGCCCCTATTTTGATAGATCCGCCCCACACATACGTACACAACCCAGACAACGATTAGTTCTGTGAAAAAAAGCAAAACCAATGTTACACCGTGTCTACACCACACACGAGTGGCTCGGTGCGATAAAATACTATAGAACTCATTATAATCAGTGATGCGGTCTACACCATAGATATATATACATATCTATGGTCTACACTGGATGCGGCGATGCACAACAAAACCCCGACAGAAAACTGCTGCTGCTTTCTATTCATGACGCATTGACACAAATTTCAAATGATTTTCAACGGTCGCTTTGTCGCGTCCAGTGTACTAGACAGACTTTAGCTGTTGCGGCGCAGACACGGTGTTACTCACCTATCGAGAAGAAACAAAGCAACCTCGGCGTCCGATCGCAGGCCTTCCGCTCCTTGAGTTCTCTCCAGCGCTGGAAAGCTGATCCGATATTTACACGGGTCCTACTTATTGCCTTAAGCCTTCTTTTGTTCCGCAGACGTTTTCCTCTTTTGTTTTTTATCCGCCATCTCTATCTTTCTGTCGCTCGGCTCGCTAATGTCTGTCCTGTGCACTGAACTCTCTCTCCTCCACATCATGAGTAGACACGCCCCTTACTGCTGACTGGCAACAAGTTTGTTTTGCTATTCGGCCCGAATCAGTTTTCTAAAGCGTTTTTGAAAAATCGCTTACCCCACCTTTAATAAACTTGTAACAACATCGATATTACCGATTACACTGCACATTTTATAAGATATTTGTCAGGATCTGCATTTTTTATTTTGATCTTTAACATTAAATCTTTACATTGTTCCCTTTCTTTGAAAAAAAAAAAAATGCTTGAAAATGGTAAATTCATTATTATTCAATAAAATACTACAATTACAAACTCGCTTATATTAAAAGCATGTCTGTTAGGTATAAGTCAAGAATTCCCCTTCAAATTCCAAGGAGCCCATCTTCTTCAAATACTATTAAACTATGCTCTCAAATGTATACTTCTATGTTGGATAACAGACCAAATTCCCTAAATTGCTAGTGGATAAATACAGCTAAAGTTCTTATTCCATATGAAGCCTTTTCTACTGCATTAAAAGGCAAGCCTTTTAAGTTTTACAAGATATGAGACCCTTTTCTCACTGGAACAAACACATTTATTAACCTTGGGAATACAGTATTCAGCTTGAAAATCTGAAGATTGCCACATTGTGATGCATGTTTATACTGGTTTTGCATAAATCTTCTTTGTCCTTTGTTTTTGTTTTTTTATCTTTCTTTATATATATATATATATATGTGTGTATGTATTTATATGTATACATATTCTGTATTTTTTAAAATAATTTATGTTCATATTATTTATTTATTAATCCTGCTGAACAACTAAATGTTTATGCAACGTCTATATTTGTATTATGTTTTTGATGTGTGTAAACCCTGCTGTCAAAACCTGCACACACAAAAAACTAGAACTTTTGTTAACAAAAGTAAGACAAGTGTTATACGGAGCCCTGTACATGACATGCAGACAAAAATATATTAAATGTGGCCACAAATTAAGAATTTGTTCCTATGACTTAATTAATTCCATTGTTTTATTAAATCACAGCAACAATGTACTAATTTATTCCCTCATATTGATTTAATTAGAATGAGGGAACAAATGACTACAATGTGGCATGATTTAAAAAATATAAAAAAATAGAAATATTGCCAAATAGGCATTAATACACTTTTACATCTCAATTTTTTGTGATTTACTTAAATATTTGTTTTAAGATTTTTTCAAGCACTTTAATTAAGACTATGTTGATATAACTAAGTTTATAACTAAGGACATATTGGGGCCCCTGGAAGTTTGTGGAGGCCATCTGATTGAGAACCACTGGTCTAACTACATAAGCCCAACTAGTGGCAGAACTAATCAACTGGCTGACTAGTCGGTGCAACCCCTAATAGACATGGAGGTCGCCATCTACGCTTCTTTAATAATCTCTGACTTGGTGCCCTGCAGTGATTTAATCGCTGTCAATGTGAACAACCCAAGGAACCAACAACAGCCGGTTCCTTAATAATGATAACAACAGGAAGCTATAAGAGTTAAAAAAGACCTCTCTTCTGAACTAGTAACTGCTGAATGATCAGCCCAATAAAAGCAGAAATGGAGAACAACAATCCCAGGTCTTGCCATCAAATTTATCCTTATTGAGAAAGAGCACCGATTTGGTGGTTTTACTCCTATCTTTGACGTAATGTACATCTCCTCACTCCGCAGTGAGCAGCCATTATTTCACCATTAGTGATCCCAGACAGCATTTCTGCCAGCTGCTTCCAGGAAAGTCATTACAGCTGTTGTCTGTGCCCTTCCTCTGAAACAATTGACCCAGCTTTTTTGCCACCTCTCTCCCCAAACGGAGCTGGCTCTGATGAGACTTAAACCACTCTCATTGGATAAATGGATTCAGCATCGATGCAACGTGACATAGGCAAATAGCAGTTGCTCTGAGCTAAAAAATAAAATAAATAAATAAATAAATAAAATACGCAAAAAGCTAAGCAAAGCACAGGACCTTGAACACCTTTCACTTAGGTTGTTTATAATGTAAGAACAAAAACAGAAAGCATGTGTAAATTACAGTAAGGTATTGTTCACAGAAGTTTCAGATTTTTACTTGCACTGACAACATTTTGACTATATATTCCACATATATACACCATTCACAAGTTTGGGGTCAGTAAGATTTTGAATATTTTTGAAAGAAGTTTCTTATACAGAAATCTCTTTTGCTCACCAAGGCTGCATTTATTTGAACAAAAATGGAGTAAACAGTAATATTGTATGTTCTATTACCATTTAAAACAAAAGTTTTCTATTTGATTATTTTTTTAAATGTAATTTATTCCAGTGATGCAAAGCTGAATTTTCAGCATCGTTACTCCAGTCTTAGTGTCACATTTAAATAGCAATCATTCTAATATACTAATTTGCTGCTCAAGATACATTTCTCATTATTAAACAACACTGAAAACAGTTATGCTGTTTATTATTTTTGTGGAAACTGTTACAGTGATTTTGCATCAGTATTCTTTGATGAATAGAAAGCTAAAAAAACAGCATTTATCACAATATAAATATTTTGTAAAATTATAAATGTCTATACTGTCACTTTTTTCAGTTTAATGAATCCTTGCTGAATAATATTTTATATATATATATATATATATATATATAAAGTGTGCAGTTTGCACAAAAATGGCATTAAATAAATAAATAAAATACAAATATATTTTACTTCCTGACATAAAATATATATAAACATTTTATATATGTCAGGAAGAAACATGTATTTTTATTTTTTATTTAAAAATATGTGCAAACTGCACACTTCTGGGAGCCCTAGAAAAACAATCAGCAGATGCAATATTTCAAGGGTGAGGTGAGAAACGTCTTTAATTGGATACACAGAGTGTTGCGCACACCACCGAAGAAAAAGGAGCTTATTACCATAGCAACCAGGATGAAAGATTCTTGATAGTGCTTAGCAAGTCAATTGCTCCGTTTCTCATTTTTCTCACTTCAAACAAAAAGACAACAAAAAAAAACCAATCAAGATGAGGACTTGCGTAACGAGGCAATGCTCCTTTGAAACTGTGTTTATGAGGTTTTAATCAAGAAGAGAAAACCTGCTTTAGTGTACTTAAGTAAACAACATGTCATCACTGTATGCTTAAAAGGCAAAGGCAAACACATTTTTGAGTTGCTGCCAACAAAGTATGGCATCTGATCTCTAAATATTTCATGTTACTTTGATTAGTTAATACATGAGTCAACATTATTTAGACCCCAGATAACCAATGGACTTACATGGTCATAGCACATTATCATAAATTATACCACAGTCTTGTTGATTCTCATTGGTTGACAGACTTTCAGTTCTGTAACTGTATGCTTATAAGTATAAATGCTTCACTAAATTCTTTATATCATGTTTACAAATTTATATTCTGGTGCATAGACGCAGGGTCTACATTCATTTCCAATACTTCAATGATCCGCCATCACTTATTCTTTACATATTATATGCATTTCAAGCTGGATAATACACCTATAATGTGCATGAAATAATACTGTACTAAGGCTGTTATCCACTGCTGATTGATGTAGAAACTGTGTAAACATGCAGGACTTCAAGTACTGCACCTGTAAAATGGGCCTCATTGTTTCCAAACGTTAAACTACAGCACTAAGCAAACCGTCTCCTTATCTGAAAAATGATTTTGCAGAATTGGCAGTCCTCAGAAGCCCCTCCCTGAGCCGTAGAGCCAAGGTCCTTTATAATTACTCTTTAATGGGATGGGTTTCCTGCACTGCTCATGATAAAAGCGAAGTCTGCTTTTGTCAGATCTTAAGGGACTAAAATCTGCACGTTCACCAGCCGCCTGAAGTCTGACACTCATTCTTTTTTGTTTCCAAATCAACAGCACAGATTAGTGCTGGGCGGTATACCGGTTCATACCGAATACCGGTGTTTATTTTTGTTATGATATGAATTTTTTAAATACCGGTGTATGTCGCTTAAACAACGTTCGGAACGCGACACTGTTTGAAAGGGGTCCCTTTTCACTGTTGCACTGTGGTGAGGG